TGAACAAGGTGGTACCGACCTGAAGAGAGGATTGGCTGTCCCTATGGAAGGCAGGGCACAAAACCCGCCTAGCCCTCCCTCCCCAGTGGATAAACGCCTTAGGCCACTGGGTGCGGTGGGGGGGCAGCACCCCAGTATAGCTGGAAAAGGGGGAAAGGAAAATCCTTCCACTCTGGACAACAGACAAGAAATCACATAGTCCATCAGAAGTCTCCCGCAGCTAAGGGAAACAGAGTCAATGGCAAAGCCCCCAGCTCCAAGACCCAGGGACAAAGGACCTGCCGAAGACTGAGGCTGGACCTGGACAACAGAAAACTCCTAACCATTTCAAACTATCAAAACTCAGAATATTTATGTCTTGTTTGGTTGCTAAGTCTTTACATTGATTTTTTAAGTGTACCATGCATGAATTTCTGTCATTTCAAATGGACCCAAGGGGTCATAGACATGTGCTCAGTTTATTTTAAACCAAAAAAATGTTATATTCTAAATTATTTTACCAGAAAAGACTCTGGATCCATAAGAAGCTGCTCAAGATATTCCAGACACATTCTATAATCTAATTATGATTAGATTATAGTAAATATGATAGTCTAAGATCACATTTATCCAAGAGCATTCAATTTGATTACTTCAAGCACAAATACTAATTAATTTCCAATCATGAGACCTTTAATTATGGGGCTGAAGAAATGGCTCAGCAGTTAAGAATGCCAGTTCAGTTCCCAGCACCCATGCCAGGTGGTATCCACCCAGGAAGCGTATACATTCAGATCAATACCTTTAACTCAGATTCAGATCAATACCTTTAACTCCAGCTCCAGGGACTCCGACACCCTCTGCTAGTCTCCGGGGGCATTCACTCTCATGCACAAACCCACACACAGACACACATGCATGTATATAATTAAAAATATAATATACAGCCAAGCGATGGTGGTGGCGAATGCCTTAATCCCAGCCCTTGGAGTCAGAGGCAGATGGATCTCTGTGAGTTCTAGGCCAGCCTGGTCTACAGAGTGAGTTCCAGGACAGCCGGGGCTGTTATACAGAGAAACCTGTCTCAGGACAAATAATAATAATAATAATAATAATAATAATAATAATAATAACAATAATATCTAAAAAACAAAAAACTTTGACCAAGAAGCAGGAGGGTCCCTGTACCCTTACTCTTACTAATAAGAAACTTTTTCTCTCAAACTAAGTAGGAAAGAAACCACAATACAACCACTTTAAAGAAATAATAATTTTAAAGAGAAATACTTTAAAGAATACTTTAAAAAAACCTTTGAAGAAAAACAATTTTAAATAATAATTTCAGCATCTTGCTTTTAACAGCGTAAGAGAAAATTACCCCTTTGGGTACTTATGTCCCACTAAATTCTTTTCACAAAATAGCAGAACTAGAGTGGCAGGTCATAGGGGGTGTGGCGGTGTCCCCAGCACACTGACCCAATCAGAGCCTCCCTCCCTCGCTGCCCTGCCCTGGCTTCAGGAGAGAGCAGACACACCACCAGACAGACGAGAGCACAGACGTGGCTGGCCGTGGTGGAAAGCTACTGTACAGCCTATACAAATGGACATGAACATACTAAATAGTAATTACAATAAACCACATAGTACTACCTCAACCAGCTGAGCCAATCCAGGAAAGGACAAATGTCCCTTCCTCTCATAAGCCCTGATTCTTGAAAATCCTGGACTGGAAAAAAGGACTTTTAGAATCAATCTGATGAGTCCGTTCCCCAACTGAACTGACAACACTTTCTCTGTTTGGAGTCTATCATTGAGGTTGGAGTCTCAGAACCTTCCAAGGACCAAAACACTTTCTTTCATTCTTTCTTTCTTATCGTCAGTCTCAGTGATACCTAAACTAGCTCCAGATTCTAATCTAGTCTTTTAAAACATTCATTGTTTGAAAGAGATCACATGAATAATGTAGTATTAGCAAGAAGCTTGCCATGCACCGTTTATGCACATGACTGCCTTTAATTTTCACAACTCCCCGTGAGATAAGCTTCTATTTTATACCAAAGAAAACAGAAGCATACAGAAGTTAATTATCATGACCAAGGTCACACACCTACAGGAAAACAACAGCTATGGCAGTAAATTACAGATAGATTTCAAATCAAATTAACTTAGCACTTCATCAAGAACTACTAAGCAGAAAAAGATTTGCTGTTATAGGAAAATTTGCCTGACTACAAGAAACCACTCTACTGCAAATTCTTTTATCTAATGCTATCTAAATATATAACGCTTTTAAAAGAAAAAAAAGGTGCAACTTCCCAACGTAAGGAATTTTTATTACACTTTTTCATTTTTTATGTTGTGTGTTCTGCCTCCATGTATTTGCACATGCATATTTAGTGCCAGAGGTCAGAAGAGAGAACTGGTTATAGATGTGTTGTGAGCCACCATGTCAGTGCTAGGAATTGAACCTGGAGCCTCTGCAAGCCCCAGGAGTGCTTTTTTTTATAAGTGAGAAAGCTGCTTTCTAAAGATGTTAACACCTTTATGATATTTACAGAGCATTAGTTGAACACCAACTAGACCACTAAATCAGCCCAGTTCCAATAGGTCAGGAAATACTTTATTGAAATGATACAGAGAAGTCTATGGACATACGTTGGTTAGACAAACTTAAATGGACGCATTCTTTTTTTTAACAGTGACGTTATCCCATCAGACATAGAACACTTTAATATAGGGGAATGAAAGCAGGGAGGACACGCCCCTCCGAGATCCCGAAGATGATGTAAATAAGCTTTTTTTTTTTTTTTTTTGAGCTGAGGATCGAACCCAGGGCCTTTCTACCACTGAGCTAAATCCCCAACCCTAAGCTCTTTCTAATACTGAGACCCTCCCCCAGTACTTGAACTTATTAAGTACATCCTCTACCCAACGCCTTATGCTGCTTTTTCTTCCAGCCACAAGGTTACTGACTTAGCCTCTCCCAGGCTGGCTTCATGTTCTCCATGTTACTTCTCACACCAGGTTGTCATTTTCTTTAAAAGGCCTCCCCTTCACTTTTACATCTGCCCTTACTTTTAGGCCTCCGATAAAAAGGCATCCCTCATCCATTCTGGTCCCACCATCCTATTTTAGTTTTTGGATATACTGAATGGATCAGCATCTGTACCTTCTTGGTTTTTTAGTTTGATTTTTATTTTCTATTATAGGCTCATGATCTCCATAATTATGTCAACTCCCTAAAACTGGAAATTTCATCTCTCCTATTATTTATTCTTATTATTATTATTATTGCTATTACTATTCTCTATCCATAATCCCTACCACAGTGGAGGCATGTGGCAAAATGAGTTAAATAACAACATGAAATAACGGTAAGTCCTGTTGCATAAACAAGGAAGAATGGTGTAAAGTAATAAGATTCCCACTTACTTCCAACCCTCTCCATATTAAAACAGGATGAAAACTTAGTTCATACCCCATGGCAATAACAATGACGTTTCTTGTAGTGTATGCTTCAGCTTCAATAATGGGGCACACAAATTCTGAACAGACTGGGAAATACATAAGCCAGTTTCTGGGCTGAGGATGAATGTCTGTGGTAGAGTGTTTAGCCGGCAATGGGCAAGGCCCTAGGTTTAATCCCCAGCAACACACACACACCACACCTGCCTATAATCCGGGGCATAAAACAGAGGCAGGTCAAAGACCTTTTCACTTGCTCCCTTGGTTACTCAGATCTATTTCCTGTAAGACATCCTGGAGGTGGGCAGGAAAACGCACCTGTGAACACCTATTTTTCCGGCACAAAGGTGCAGAGAACGTTTCTAATCACACCTCTATAAAGCGTGTGGGCAAAGGTGAAAACGCCAAATTCAATCGGCAATTGGAGAAAATTCCGAACTGAACAGAAATGCATGCCTCCAGCATCAAAAACAACCACCGCTGCTAATCAAATAACCCAAAATCTGGGCCTCGAAACTAGAAGAGCCTGTCAAACATCTAAACAGTTGGTAAAAAAAAAGTTCTCTTACTATTATAACTATACGGAAACGGTACTATCCACATAAAACTATCCACACAAACAGTACCATGCGTACTATCCCTGTGGTAACTGGATTAAAATGTTAACGCTAAAACCCAAAAGCACTACTTAATGACTCAAGTCCACTTGCAAAAATAATTATTTTTTATTGCTTTACTACAGGTTAAATTAATCTCATCTCCCATAACCTCCACCAAAAGTTCACAGCTTGGTGTGTGATGAATGAAACTGCCACTCGGGACCAATTCGGATCCCCTGATGCCCCTTTCGCCCCCCGGGGACAAGCAAGCCAGATGACTCCCGGACGCAGCAATACAAGACTAGCAGGACCCCAGAGCACAGCGCCCCAGGCTCACGGGAAGCGGGGTTACCCTGACACTGGGGACCTCTGGAGCAAGTCGCTCGGGGCAAGGCTCAGGCCAACCGTCCCACGCCGCTGGGGGACAGGCGATGCCCTCGCGTGGACGTCCACGCAGGCTGGCAGGGCCAGCCGGGGTGGCCGGACACCAGGGCACACACGCAGGCCCCTCCCGCCGGATCCGCCACGGTGGCTCTGGAGGGCAGGCCAGATGCCCGCACAGGACGGGCGGACGGGCGCTGCCCACGCCCTCGCCTCACCTCGGCGGGCACCGGCAGGTCCTCCACCGCCGCCTTCAGCTCCAGCACCGAGTCCGTCTGCCTGTCTGTCAGCGGCGCCATCGAGTCGGGTCTCCGATCCCAGAGAGACAGCTTCTCTCGGGCGTCCCGCTCGGCCGCCGCCTCCGGCAGCAGCAGCAGCGCCGCCTCCGCCATCCCCGCCGCGCTGGGCCCCTCTCGGCAGCGCAGAACCGGACCCGGACAGGCAGAGCGGCCGGGAACTTCCGGGAGGACCGAGGTTTCCAGCGCCGCAGCGGCGGCGGGGGCGGGCCCGAGCGCCCTGGCCCCGGAAACGCTTCCCCGGCGTGAGGGCGGGGCCGAGGCCAGAACAGACGTGGCTTTGGGCGGAGTGTAAGCATTTCCGGTTGGGCTGAACCCGAAGCTAGAGAGTGAAAGACAGGCGGCGTGGGCGGAAGTAGGTTTGCCCCTACCGGAAGCCTCTGCCTCAACATCCATAACTTTATTGTAACGTGTGGTTGAAGTTTTTTTGCCAAGTAAGGTAAGTCACCCAACAGATAGGGGAATTGAACTCCCAAGATCGACCGCCTCTTTGCTGTCAGGTAGTGAGTGATTTCCATGTTGACATAGCAACCAAGGGCACAAATTTTTCGATTATGCGACTTCCCTTTTGGAAAACTAGTTTGTGGAGACACAGATTCAAAGACACACATATCAAGCGTCATTAATAGTATCAAACAACTGAAAAGAAAAAAAAACCTAAACGGCCAACATTGAAGAACTGGATCTGACGATCCCAAGATGAAAGTGGGAAATTCTGCCGTTTAAATCATGATACACATTTGGACAGCTGAACAAATAATATTATTAGATCAAATCTACATAATTGAATAAATATTAAATATATACTTATTACTATATAAATATACTAATTAATTGGGTAATTAAATGAAAAGGGGACAACCTTCTACATTACCAAAGAATTCCAAAAAACCGAGAAAAAATGAGAGAAATGGAAAGTTATCATTAGGACATCACAGTAATAATTGTAGCAGGCAAGATAAAAGGAAGGATACTGAGAGGAGCTGGCAAAGTTCCAGAAGAAATGGCAATTTGCATAGTTCCAGATAATCTCTCCAAGATAGTTACCAATAAGAGGAGGAAGTCAGGCACAGTGATACACACCTGACGCCCAGTACTTGGAAAACTGACAGATAAGGATTGCAGCATGTTCAAGACCAATGGGCTAATAGCAAGAGCTTGTCTCCAAAAAAGGGAGTCGGGGTTCAGAATAATGACTTACAGTAGCAGACACCATCTTAACCATGTGATCTAACTGAACATCATTGTCATGAAATTCCTAGATGGGTGGGTTGAGGGCATGATACTCCTTCTGTGGCCTTCTTACCAAAAATGCAAACCTAGTTTTTGTTGTGGAATATTACTTTAACTATGTAAAGATGCGTTACATTTGTTTAAGTTGCATTTGTTCTAACGATTTGTAAAGATGTGTTGCTTTGCCTGCCTAAGGCACCTGATTGGTCTAATAAAAAGCTGAACAGCCAATAGCTGGGCAGTAGAGGGTTAGGTGGGGCTGGCAGGTAGAATAAGTAGGAGAAGGAATCTAGGCTCTAAAGAGGAGAGAGAACGAGGGAGACACCCAGGGCTAGCCAGGCAGGCAGCTGCCAGACAGATGGAGTAGGACATACAGAATGAAAGAAAGGTAAAAAGCCCTGAGGCAAAAACATAGATAAGGAGAAACAGGTTAATCTAAGTTTTGAGAGCTAGTGGAACAAGCATGAGACAAGGCCGAGCATTCATAACTAATAAGTTTTCGTGTCATGATTTGGGAGCTGGTTGGTGGCCCAAAAGAAAGCCTGCTACAAATTCTAGTCATGGAAAAACAAAAGTCCATCACAAATGGACAGACATCCTACAAAACACTGAGCAGTGTTCTCCAAAAGTGTCAAGATCAGGGCTGGAGAGAGAGCTGGCTCAGGGGCTAGGAGAGTTTGCTGCTCTTTCTGAAGACTCCAGTCCAGTCCTCAGCCCCCACATTATACAGCTCACAACCACCTGCAGCTCCAGTTCCAGGGGATCCAACCCCCTCTTCTCGCTTCTCTAGGTACCCACATACATGTAGCACACACAAACACACACATAAATTTTGAAATAAAAAGTAAATCTAAAAAGAGTTCCAAAGCAATAAAAAAAAAAAGCAAGAAATGACTGAGGAGTCATTATTACATATCAATTACTAAGAGATGTTTTCATCTCAGTGCAATGTGGTATCTTAGATTAATTCCTAGAACAGAAAAGGGATAATTGTGGTTAAACTATAGGATAAAATATGGTTCTACTGGAATAAAATGATTGAATATAGTAAGGAAAATGAAACCATATAGGACCCTCTTGACCAAAGGCATTGAATGCTTTCACACTGAATGCTGTCACAGCCGTGGAGGGGAAGCGGGGTTCTCAAGGGCCTGAGACAAAGGCGCTGTTCTTGCTTTCTCTATTGTCACAGGCTGGAAGGGAGAGAGCAGATATGTAAAGTCATCGAAACAATGCATCCTGGCGTGTGCCTCCAGCCGAGGATCCAAATCCTTGGCCAATGTCTCATTTCCCTGCTGACAGTTTAATGAGGCCAAAGCGTGTCTAACAGGTGCTACCATCCAGGCGAGAATTCCACGGTTGGAGGCATTGGAGAGCCACCAGAAGACAGCTGGTCTCCCTGACCTTCACAAGAAGTCAATGGTGTAAGAACATGTCATTCCTTCTTGTAGGTGAGAGGTGGTCCTCGCCCCCGCCCCTTTTTATAGAGCAGTGCCATTGTCAGAAGTGTTGAAGAAACACAGGGTAATGTACCCCTACTAAATGACCTCCACTCCGGTAAAGTCTGATTCTTTTTTTTTAAGATTTATTTATTATGTATACAGTGTTCTGCCTGCATGCCAGAAGAGGGCACCAGATCTCATTACAGATGGTTGGGCGCCACCTTGTGGTTGCTGGGAATTGAACTCAGGACCTCTGGAAGAACAGCCAGTGCTCTTAACCACTGAGCCATCTCCCCAGCCCAAAGTCAGATTCTTGACCATATAGTGAAAAGAATTTCAGGACAAAACCAGAGTGAATAAAACTGCCACCAAGCCTGATGATGATATATGAACTCAATCCCCCAGAGTCCACACCAAAAGAAGTGACCTTCACAAGTTGTCCTCTGATCTCGTGTATGGTGTGGCACACAAGCACCTCTCCCAAAAACACACGTAAATGAATGTGAAAAATTGTAAATGCAATTACAGAGGGTTTTCTGGAACACTGTTTGGGTTTAGGGTTGGGAGTAGTACTAATTCAACTAAACTCAAGACCTCAACCGTTCTGGCCCTAAGTGAGGAAGGTTCATTGTTTAGCATCTTGAGATGCTGTTAAGAAAAGAAACACTCTCTGTAGACAAGCTGGATTTTATCTGTTGTGCCGAAGTCTCGACTGGCAGATGGAAACACTAACCAGATCGGAAGATGAAGGGCTCTCTTTCCCTCCCCATATCCACTTATTTTCACTCATCTTTCTATCTTGCCTCTAGTCTGTCATGTGACAAGGATGGATATAAATCATTATATATATGGTGTGCACTGTACCACAAGTGAACCCTAAGATGATAAGCTGTGGGCGTGGGTAACATGGTGTATCAATGTGGGTTCCTCGGTTGTAGTAAGCACACCTCTCTGGTACAGGATGCAGATAAAGCATGATGGAAAAGTACAGGAGTGTGTGTACCTTCACTGAATTTTCCTGTGAAACCAAATGCTCTAAGAAATACATCGATTGATAAGCCAAGCCCCGCTTTCTTACCCAGTTCTTAACAAACCATTCTGTGTAACTCAAACGTTAAGAAAATGGACGTCTGCAAAAGCCTTTTAAGTAACCAAAAAGTTGACCATCCAAGTCCATACTTAGTTTTGTTGTTTTCTGTGAAACAAGTATCCCTGTCTGGTCCAGCCAACCAGGGATCCCAGCTCTTGCTTCTAGCAGCACCTAGAGTGGTTGTGGGATGGAGGGGTAGTGATTGGTGTCGTGAACACTGAGCCTTCCTTGCCAAGCCAGCCTCAGAATCAAGTTCACTCCTTTCTACTCACCTACAGAGTACTTCACAAAATGATGGGTTGGGGGTAGGGGGGCATCTCGAAGGACAAGGCAAAGAGTGAGTTGATCCCCATAACTCTCCATGCAGAGAGAAGTACCCATGACCACTTTCACCAAAACTGTCCCTCCCCCTGCCTTCTGGAGTCTGCCTTTGTCTAAATGTGTCTGTGTATCTGAAATAACCATGAGCCACTGTATCATCATATATTATTTCTGTTTATTAAATAATGAAACAAGGTGTATGCCACACAGTCCAATCATGTATAAAGAGCTTGAAATAAAAAAGCTTGTGGAAAAATGTATATTCTTTACATAATACATACTATTTATAGCACATGAATAAATACAGAGAACAGGAGCCATTTTTTTTTACATTCAGGTCATCAACATAGAGCATCAGTAACAACACAATTTCCTTCAACTTAGTTACAAAACTCAAAATAGTTTTCACAATACTTAAGCAAAATGCCAAGTGGAAGTGTTTCGGCCACATCCATACCACCAAGCACTTCAAGTTGTCTCTGGGTTAGGAACATCAACGACTGTATTAACTCCAGGGAGAGGAAAGGCAGGTGAAGAGCCTGTCCTATAAGGCACTTAGGAAGTTCACGCCACCCTTGTCTTAAAACACTGCAATTTTGCCTTAAAACACGCTGAATTTTTACAGTGAAGTTTAGCTTTCTTTTCATCCAGGTACAGACACAAACATAATTTAATAAATTGATAATACTGTCTGACATCTGCTCTGCACGTGATCTTCAAAATGGACCTGTTTCTACTTTAGACATTACCTCCATACTTTAAAAAATAAAGTGGTATTTCTTTTTTTTTTTTTTTTCTTGGCCAGTTGGTGGTGATGCTCGCCTTTAATTCCAGCACTCAGGAAGCAGAGGCAGGTGGATCTCTGTAAGTTTGAGGCCAGTCCCATCTAAAAGAGTTCCAGGACAGCTAGGGCTGTTACACAGAGAAACCCTGTATCAAAAAAATTAAAAAACAAACAAACAAAAAAAGGCTTGAAAAAAATACAATCCTTTCAACTCAAGAGAAAGCCTCTGTCGAGTCTTATCACTTAAGGGAATGTTCAGGCCAGAAGAAAAACATCTCAGTGGAGGAGATGGGCCAGCAGCAGCTTGGGTCCTCTACTGCCATCTAGTGGCTTGCTAGGGACTTTATTCATCTTTAAGTCGTCTGTTCTCATGTGATGATCTTGTCTTGGCTTTTACTTTTAGAGATCGCACCCTGCTTTGCAAACGGTTTTCAAAGAAAACATTAATAAAGAAGCCAAGGTGAAAATTGTGAGAGAAAAAAGTGCTCAACCCTCAAGGAAAGGAAAACCTGCATGATTCTGCCTCAAGGAAGAGGCCCTGTGGGACAGATAAGGAATGTACCCGGCATTGCGCCCTGCTTAGAGTCCCAGTTACCACTGATACTTTCACAGGGTACACCTGGAGGGATTGAGCTCCTTTCTATAACTAGAAAGCTCGTGGCTCTAGAGACATCTTTTGCTTTGAAAAGTATAAGAGGTTAGATCGGTCTCAGAAGAAACAAAATAGGTAGAGGGCATTATATGCCTCCTATCAGAAAGGAGATAAACAGAGGTGCTAAAGCGATCACTTTGGGGTGGGTGGGGCTCGGTGTGGGGCAGACACCCAGAATGCACAAGAGTTTGCTCCCCAACATCACAGAAATCAAAGGGGAAGGAAGTTTTTTGTTTTTTTTTTTTTGTTGTTGTTTTTTCAATTTCAAGGAAATTAACTAGGAAATCTCAGATAAAGGTTTTTAAACAAACCCACCTTGAGCTAAAGTAAAGGCTAGAAGTCTGGAGGCATCCTCTCTTCAGTTCATTAGCAACTACAGAACTTCACCTGTAGCGTTATTTAACGGAGGTACCCCGACTGTTCACTGTGAGTGTGAACACACTCACCTTGCACGTGGCAGCCTGTTTCCCCTTCATTTGACACCAACTTACTCAGCATGATTATCCCCATTTGATCAAAATGGAAATAATAAACTGCTAAAAATCATAGGGCAAATGCTAATGTTACCTCACAAAGGTCTCCCAAGGCTTAACTTCACTTACTGTAAGTGAAAGATTGTGCCCAAACAGGAACTATAAAGCAGTGCAATGTTCTAAAAAAATCTACTTCCTGCACTGTCGAGGTCTAGAGTTTAAAAGTCCAAATGTAAAATCTCTTCAGCTGACAGGAAACTAAAGCTCTCAACAGTTTGGGAATAATACCAGCCAAGGGGGAGGGGCTCCATCACTCCGGAGCCTTCTCAGAACAATAACACCAGCCTCCTGGGCCGCCATCACTCCAGGAGCCTTCCCAGAGCTGCTGATGTTCACAGCTGGAAGCCCAGAGGCAGCGAGGCTGCTCTCCCAGGGGAAAACTGCACGCGGTTCTGATTCCCCTGCAAGTTTTCTACAGCAAGAAACATGTGTTCTGCACATTATCTTGGGTGTCAAAAGGGCACTTCCATGGCAAAGACTAGTGAGTACATGCTATAGTTTAATCTCTGAACACGGATGAAAAGCATCCAGCGCCAACATGACACTCTGAAGAACCCAGTCTTCACCCATCGCTCCCATCCTAGAAGCTGTGATGAGCTGTGCAGTGAGAAGCAGCCAGAAGCACAGGAGGTTCTACCATTGCGGGTGTTGGCTCTTCAGAAGAATATCTTGTGTAGCATGGACTGGTCACAAGTCCAATTTCTTCAGCTGCTCATATGTCAAAAAGAACTATGGTTATGGGTTAAGGCTGCCAAGAAAATGTCATGTTACCAAGCCTGACACACGGAGCAGACAGACAACTTAGCTTCTCTACTAGCCCATGCCTGCAGGCAGCTTCAAAGGACACCATTCCCCTTGAGTTCCATGCAGAGTCTCAGGCTATGTCCCCAGATGTTGCCCCAGGTGAGCTCAGAATAGAGGGATCAGAGCTGAGCCCCACAAACCCCTCAGTCTTGGGCTCTTCAGGAATGCTATGCATTGTCTTCAGCAAAGACCTCACTGGGCAGAGTATAACAGAGGCCCAGGAAGCTCTTCTCCAGCATGTCCCCATCACAAAGGAAAGGGGGTGCCAAACCCGGCACCCCTACCTCTAACTTCTTTCCACATCTGCTGACCTGCCCCTCCTCACCTCACATGTCAATCACTTCAAGAGCTAAGTTCTGCCCATGTTCAGTAAGCGACCCACAGCAAGCGTGCCTACACACTGATGGCATCCACATCCTTCCCCAGGAGAGCAGGACATACATCAATCACATCACTCTGGAATCACGAACACCCAGAACTCCTCAGCAGATTCTAATGAAAATCGATACCATTCAATAGCAACACAATTAACTAAGTCTTGGTGTGTCGAATGAAGAGACCTCACATTTCCTAAAGTAGAAATGGAAAGGCTATTTCTTAGAATCAGAGGAACTCAAAAAGATAAGAACGTACTTCTTCATTTTAATTTATAAGCAAAACCAAACAATATTCTTTAGTAATAACCCTTTTTAGATCAACCACAGCAGAAAAGGATACAATGATATTCCAAGGACCAAGGCGCAACCAATTTGGCCAAAAACCTTTATATAGAGCAAAAAAACCTTCATTCTTCCATGTCTATTAAAAAGAAAACAAAAAAAGCATTAGCTTCCCATTTTCCAATTAAGTCCAACGCACTGATAATGTGCCAAATTGATATATACCTTTTAGTCAAAATTAAATCCCAAAGTTGAGGATGCCACCCCGACCTAAATGGTGCAAGAGAACCGAATCCCACAACTTGTCTCTGACTGAGCCGGAGGAAACCCAAGCTTAGCAAAGTGGTCTTTCCAACTTGCAGGTGTGGTAAAGAGTGTCCCCACCCTGCTGCTCAGACCACTACCCCACCCTGCCCACAAGAGCCCGTTGTACTTAAGGTTGGCAGTGCCGATGTATAGCCAGCCCGTGTGTTATGCTGGGAATGTGCAACCCGTGGGAGCTGCAGTTCCTGGTGGAACTGCCTACTGGCTGCTGGAGGTAGGGGATTCAAAAGATGGGGAAATGCAGCCATTGGTCTTTGGAATTCCCTGAGACCTATTCCGATCTAGATGCAAAGGATATAGAGAAAGCAAGTGTTTGAGTGGACTCAACAGGCTTGGGGTGATGCCATTTCCAGACTACAATTTTTTGTTTGTTTGTTTTTTGAGACAGGGTTTCTTTGTGTAGCCTTGTTGTCCTGGAACTCACTCTGTAGACCAGGCTGGCCTTGAACTCAGAGAGATCCACCTGCCTCTGCCTCTCGAGTGCTGGGATTAAAGGTGTGCGCCACCATCGGCCGCTATAATATTCTTCCAATGAAAACCATTGGGCTGTGCACAAGGCTGGGCTCTTCTTGGTCACTAACTCTGCTCAAATGCATAATATTACAGAGAACGGCTGAATATTTTCAGCTTTAATCAAAGAATAGGAATAAATGAAATGCATTTTATATGTTTACTCAAAGTAAACATCTGTTTAAAAGGACTGATTAGAGAGAGATCTTTGCTCGGCCTCTTTGATCCTTAAAGGCTTCTGCATGTAAACCACCGCAGACAGGAGGATGAACCCCACAGAAAGCAGGTAAACAAGAACTCAGTGAGTAAGAAATCAGACTGATTTCTAAGTCGGGGCCGGCCGTTAGCTCCCATGCCATCTGGACTCCTAGACCAGCCAGCAGTAAACAAACACTTGTGATAAAGATACCTTCCAGAGCGCTTCCCTTCCCGAGTTTCCTCTCTGCTTCACTAAAAGCAATAGAAGAGGAGTGGGGCGGAGCTCGGGTGCTGGAGTCCTTGCCCAGCAAATACACAGCTGACTCACTTCCAAGCACACATAAGACCCACTAGGGTGGCTCAGGCTTGTAACCTCAGCCCCTGGGAGGCCGAGGCAGGAGGGTCAGAAGTTCATGGTCACACCCAGCTACCTATCAAGTTTGGGACCAGTTAGATGATCTACCATCCTGCTTCAAAAAAAGAAGCAGCAGCTGGTGGGATGGCTCAGCAGGTAAGGCCGCCTGCTGCCAAACATGATGACCTGAGATCATGGCCATGATCATCAGAATCCATAGGCTGGAAGGAGAAAACAGATTCTGACCTGCGCGCTCATGCCACGGTACAGTATGTATGCACGGCCAGTGCCATCACCCCTCACGCCCCGGCCCACACAAAATAAACAAACGTAACTTTAAACATAAAGCAGGGGGCTGGAGAGATGGCTCAGCGGTTAAGAGCACTAGCAGGGCAGCTCTTCCAGAGGACCCGGGTTCAATTCCCAGGAACCACGTGGTGGCTCACAGCCATCTACAATGAGATCTGATGGCCTCTTCTGGCATGCAGGTGTACATGCAGATAGAGCACCATGTGTATATAATAAATAAATCCTAAAAAAGCTATTTTAAAAAATGTAAAGCAATCCTTGAAGACTAAGAAGCATTAGCACCATGCTGAGACCTGGAGCAAGTGCCCTTATGCTTTGGCCACCGGTGACAGACCTAGTAGGGAAGCTGAACAGTGCTAAAACCAGTTCTCTAAGCTGGGAACTGTGGTGGGATTGATGTCCTCCTGCAAGGCACATCTAGACGGGGATACTTATTCTAATTTGACTCAAGAAGGAAAAGACTCACTTTGGAAACAGACAGTTTTGTGACCACAGAAAATATTACTCTTTTAGCAACCTTCCTAGCAGGGGAGAAGTATGTGGAAAATGAACTTTAATTTGTAAAATTTCACCTAGATCTTGGACCTTCAACTCCTCAGGGTGGCAAAAATGGTATGTCATGCCATTTTATCTCTGCAAAGGCAGGTGGAGCTCTGTCTACACAGCGAATTCCATGCCAGCCAGAGCTGCATAACTAAGACTGTCTTAAAATTTTTTAATAATAATAATAATAAATGTTATATGTATCCCCAAGGGCTCTATGGCCTCACTCCTCTTAGTTTTAATACTTGTTACAGCTTAGTTACTTCAGTGTGTGAGTGTGTGTGTGTGTGTGTGTGTGTATGTGTGACTCACAATCCTGCACAGACATGTATTCTCACCTGCAATAGGCAATCCAAGGTACCCTTGTAGCCAGAGCACCTGCCGTCTGGAAGGACTCTCTGATTCATCATACGGGTTCTTACAACATCGACAGGGTTTGAGGCCAAAGCCCCCACCAGACCACAGGTGAAGCTTGAGCTATAGAGAAAACAGTATTGGAAAAGACGAGAACTCCCCCTTAGCTACAACTATGAAGGTAGGGGACAAGACAGCTCCCTCCCAAAATTACCTGAAGGTAAACATGGAGTTCCCCGAGCTGCACCAAGAATGAGGCCCATGGGGCTGGAGCTGGCTCAGCAGTTAAGAGCACTTGTTCTAACAGAGGACCTGAGTTCAAATTCTGGCACCCACATGGTGGCTCAGAGCCATCCAGAACTCCAGTTCCAGGGGATCTGATGCCCTGATCTCTGCAGGCACCAGGCATATACACAGTGAACACACACACACACACACACACACACACGTAAAACACTCATACATGTAAAAAATAAATAAAGCACAAGATGGCCTCACAGGGTATTCCCCCATGGGGTCTTGGCTTCTAGTAGACTGTCAATAGACTACTATAGACCTCACTGAGATTCATGCTAAACTGAGTTGTACGTAGTCTAAAGCTGCCTGTGTGCATAAGTAACTGTAACCTAACTTATTTAACTTGCATAAAATGGAACAGTTAGACTTCCACGTCCTTGCTGAAAACTCCTAAGCTGAACTTCATGGAGCTCCTCTTTAGGTCATTTCCATTTCTCTGGCCATAAACACTCCTGCACACACTGCAGATGCAGCTCTCTAAACCACTATTCAGTGAGTGCTACTCTGTTCCTGAACATTTCTTTTTCTTCTTGGCTTTTTGAGACAGGGTTTCTCTGTGTAATAGCCTTGGCTGTCCTGGAACTCACTCTGTAGACCAGGCTGACCTTGAACTCACAGAGATCCACCTGCCACTGCCTCCCAAGTGCTGGGATTAAAGACATGTGCCACTATGCCTGGCTTCTGAACATTTCTTCTTTTTGAATTAAACTCCACTGAATTTAACTTCACGGCAGTGTTTATCTTATCAGTATCAATCAGCTCAGAGGTTTCCCCACCTCAGCATCCCTCACGGGTTGAATTAATCGTTCTTTGTTGTGGAGGTTGTTTTGTTCACACTAAGGTTTATTCATATTTGCAGCACACAAGCTCTGACCACTAGTTATATAGTACTCCCCCTAGTGGTGAAAATCAGCACACTTGCCACACTTGCCCCAATGTCCCAGGCCAGACCAAGTCATTCAGCCCACCAATGGGTTAAATGATCTGTGATGCATTCATATAAACGTGATAACCCCTGGTTATTAAAAACAAGTGAAGGGCAGAGGGATGGCTCAGCAGTTAAGAGGATATATTGTCCTCATAGAATCCAAGTTAGATTCCCAGCACTCATATCAGATGCTCACAACTGCCTGTAACTCCAGCTCTGGGGCTCTGACATCCTCTGACCTCTGTATTTGTACCATGGGCACACACACAAATACATACATAAATAACCAAAAAGAACTAAGTTGTAAGGAAGACATGGAAATGTATCTGGGATATGGTGTCGCTTATTTTCTTTTTCTCTGGGTAACCTGCCTCTGCCTCCCGGGTGCCAGGATTAAAGGTGTGCTCTACCACCATGCTATGGAAAACCAGCCCAGCCATGCTGTCACTTCTTTAAGAGCAATACAATGCAAACATTACCTTGTTTATAAACGACATGTGGTGTCTGTTTGTAAACATACTGTTTACCTGCATACAGGTACATATCTGTTAACAACAGCTACCTATGTAAAGGTATAGACTTTGATCTTGTCCTGTTTGACTTCTGTATTATAATCTTTCAAATAAGAAAGTATAATACTATTATAATGCTTTCTCTAAAACTTCCATAAATTTACACAAAATTTCACCCTAACTTAATGCATGCCTAAAACATTAAATTTTATTTGTTTGTTTTTCAAGACAGGATTTCTCTTTGTAGCCCTGGCTGTCCTGGAACTCGCTTTGTAAACCAGGCTGGCCTCAAACTCACAAGAGATCCTCCTGCCTCTGCTTCTCTAGTGCTGAGATTAAAGGCATGCACCACCACCGTCCAGCTACAATATTAATTTTTAAAATCCATAAACATACAGAAAATGTGTAAAGACAGTGTCTCCCATCAGGCCCGAGAGTATCAGGTGCTTCTTGGTGATGTCATAGACTGGCAGCTCCACACCGACAACAATGGCAGCCCGCTGAGCCGTGAGAGACACACCCTGGGTAAAAACAGGAACAGGAAAATGATTTTCACATCCCTCCAGAGAACGCCAGGGTCCAGAAGCTCTCCCCGACCCATGACGAGCTCTGTCAGAAGTGTGGAGTACCCGAGTAAGAAAGGTACCGGAGTGAAAAAGGGCCACCACGCACAAACGCGAAAGCTCTGATGTCAGTTCTGACTGTGGCCAGACCGTGGCTAGGACAAACCATCCTCCAAGGCGCCAGTTTCTGTCACGCTGAGGGATGACACCAGGTGATAAGTTAGGGTCTATTCTGTGACCCAATGAGTCAGGAGTCATCTACATCAGCTCTTGCCTGACCACAGACCTCACCTAAGCCAGGAAACTGTGTAAGTCAATCCCCCAGTGGCACGGGGACCCAGGGTCATTCTGAGAACCGAAACAACAAAAAGCAACCATCAGATAAATAAAAAGTGATCAGCTTTCCCAAAATCCCTTAATCTAAAAGGCACCTGAAACCCACAGCACATTCCCCATGTTCTCATTTGAAAGATAAGTTAAGGAGGAAGGTGTCCTCAAAGGCAGAAAATGGCATTCTTCTGACGCCGTGACCACACTTAGATTAAGAGGCAGGGAGAAGAAGCGGGGTAGGGAAGAGCCAGTGTGTGTGGATTCCGCTCCGCAGGCTCACCTTCCACAGTCCTCTGGTCCCTTCCTGCTGGTATATGTTAATGAAGTTGCCTATCATTCCGCCTTGAATAGCGCTGTTCTGTGCTTGCATTCGGATCTACAGATCATCAGAAAGAACAGCGTGAGAAGGAAACTGGCCCACTCTCCACCCCCTCACCACCAAAGACGCACGAAAACCACCCACCAAGTGCTTAATGGTGCGTGGAGAAAACCAGCATAAAATGACTGGGATGCTACCTCCAAATACCCTCGGTAGACCAAAAGCATCGGGCGGCCCTTAGCAACTCCAGAGTTTAAAGGGCTAAGCAGCATCACAGAGTCCTTTTGTTTGTTTGTTTGTTTGTTTGTTTGTTTATTAAGTCTTGAGGTTTTCTTTTTTTGTTCTTATGGGAAGGTCAGGTATAGCCTATTTCTCTCTATGATTTAATAAGAATGAAAAAGAAAGAGGATTATTTTTTTTTTTTTTCCGAGACAGTGTTACTCTGTGTAGTCCTGGCTGTCCTGGGGCTGACTTCAAACTCAGAGATCCACTGGTGGGATTAAAGGCATGTGCCACCATACCCAGCTAGAGAAAGTGATGCTAATATTAAAGACTCACTGTAGCCAGTGAGAGTTACCCAGTGTGCTCAGCTGCAGTAAATGCCGGCAAGCCTAGCTCTTAAATTGCTCCAAGCCACAATTATTTCCAGCTTGTCAAAGGTATGCAAATAGGCTTTCCACAGGATGCTGTTACACTTTCTTACCCTTGAACTT